TAAAAGGACTCAAATGAAAATAACAAAACTATTTTTAGATCTTCAAAATAGCCACTGGACCCTTTCCTTCACTTCTTCTTTAGCCCAGCGGACTAGATCCGCTACATCCCACTCTCCTTCGAGAACCTTGTTAATCAAGGGTTCAGCAACCAATTGACCATCTGAAGTACATAGGGGAGGGTTGTTTGTTGGAAAAACTTTGGGTCCTAGCTTCTTCTTGAGTTGGGACACGTGAAACACATGGTGGATACGTGAATTGTCTGGGAGCTGAAGCTCATAAGCCACTGGGCTGATCTTTTTTATTACAGGGTAGGGGCCAAAGAACTTTGAAGCTAACTTCAAATTCTTCTGCACAGCTACGGATGATTGCCTGTAAAGTTGCAATTTGATGAAGACTAGATCCTCAATCTCAAATTCTCTTTCACTTCTTTTGTTGTCCGCGTATTGTTTCATACGCGTTTGTGCCTTAATGAGGTTTTCCTCTAATTGCTTGCTCATTATTTGCCTTTGCTTCAGTAATTGGTCCATTGTTTCCACCTTGGACTGAGCAATTAACTCAAATGTGGGTTGTGGAGGTTCATATCCGTAAAGGGCTTGAAATGGTCTCATCCCAATAGCGGATTGAAAGTTGATATTATACCAAAACTCCGCTAAAGAAAGCCACTTGCTCCAATCTTTTGATTTTTGGCCTGTCATGAACCTTAGGTAAGATTCCAAACAGCGGTTTAGCCTCTCAGTCTGTCCATCCGTTTGGGGATGGTAGGCTGAACTCAGCTTTAGTTGCACTTGCATATTCTTGAATAATTTCTGCCAAAATAAGCTCACAAATATGGGGTCTCTGTCCGAGACAATTGAGCAGGGAATTCCATGTAGTTTGCACACATAATCTAGGAACACTTGAGCTATTTGGGAGGCATTGTATGGGAGGCTCAAAGCTATAAAATGAGCATACTTAGTGAATCGGTCGACCACTACTAGTATGACTTCTTTCCCTTTCGACTTTGGTAAACCATCGATAAAGTCTATTGAGATATGTTCTCAAGCCCTCTTGGGAATTGGCAAAGGATGCAATAATCTCGGATATGCCACAATTTCATCCTTGTTTCTTTGACATGTTTCGCACTCTCTAATCACAGACTTAACATCATCGATCATCTTGGGCCAATAAAAAATTGATTTAAGTCTTTGATAGGTTGCATGAATACATGAGTGCCCTCCCATGTGGATGAATGCATATCATTGACTAATTTGATCCTTAAGTTTTGTTGGTTGCCTATCCACACTTTGCATTGAAGCCTCAGTAGACCCATTTGTAGGGAAACATGTGGGACAACATTTGAGTCAATGTTGATTTTAGTGATTAACTCTTGGGCTTTATCATCCCCCATATAGTTATCTAACACTTCTTGAACCCATTTTGGTTGTGTTATACTTAGGCCCAAACAATCAGCAATCTGCCCATCTATTTTGGTCTCCTCACCTCTTCGAGATAATGCATCTGCTACTACATTTTCTTTCCCTTGTCTGTAATGTATTTCGTAGCTTAACCCCATCAGTTTCGTCACTCCCTTATGTTGTAATGATGTGGTGATGCGTTGATCTCTCAGGAATTTTAGACTAAAATGATCAATCCTAATTACAAAGTGGTTGGGCTGAAGGCAGTGTCTCCATTTCTCTACTGCTAGCAAAAGTGCTATCAATTCCTTCTTATATGTTGACAATCCAAGGTGCTTTGGGCTTAAGGTTTGACTTATAAAAGCGATGGGTCTGTTATGTTGTGAGAGGACTGCTCCGACACCTAGCCCACTCGCATCCACTTCAACCACGAATGGAACATTGAAGTCTGGTAGCGCCAAAACTGGAGCTTGGGTCATGGCTAACTTTAAAGCCTTAAAAGCTTCATCTGTTCCTTCGTTCCAAACAAATCCTCCTTTCTTTAATAGTAAAGTTAATGGCTTACTGATAATTGCGTAATTTTTAATGAACCTTCGGTAGTATCCCGTTAATCTAAGAAAGCCACGTAAACTCTTAATGCACCCAGGTTTGGCCAGCTTATCATGGCCTCAATCTTTGCCATATCTGTGCTCATACCTTCTCCATTAATGACATGACCCAAATACTCAACCTTGGGTTGAGCGAAGCTGCGTTTTGGCCGTTTGGCAAACAGCTGATTTGCTTCGAACACTTTAAACACAATCAGTAGATGTTCCAAGTGTTCTGCCAATGACGATCTATATACGAGGATGTCATCAAAAAATACAAGCACAAATTTCCTTAAGTAAAGGCCGAAAATGCTTTGCTTTAGTGCTTGAAAAGTTGCTGGTACGTTCGTGAGCCCAAAAGGCATCACAGTGAATTCCCACAACCCATGATGTGTTTTAAAAGCCGTTTTGTATTCATGACCATTCTTCATCCGTATTTGATGGTAACCCGATCTTAGATCCAATTTTGAGAAAAATTGAGCCCCATGGGGCTCACAAAGGAGGTCTTCCACCACCAGAATTGGGTATTCATTCTTGATGGTCATATTATTTAGCCTTCGGTAGTCCACACATAGCCTCCATGAAAGATCTTTTTTCTTGACTAAAATCACTGGTGAAGCAAAAGGTGAAGTGCTGGGGATCACTGTTTTTGCTTCCAGCATTTCTTTGATGATCCTTTCTATGGTGTTTTTCTGCTCATGTGAATACATATAAGGTCTTTGGTTGACTTGCCTTGAATCAGGAATTAACTCAATTGCATGGTCACAAGGACGGGTTGGAGGTAATGAAGTTGGTTCCTTAAAAATGAATGCAAATTGGTTCAAAATCTCATGTACTTGGGCTGGGATATTTTCAGAATCATCCCCTCCTAATTCCATATGGAAGGTTTGGCCACCCAATTGTATTCTCCGTTTCGCAGAAGCCTAGAAATCAGTCTTACATCGCTTTGGCCCAACCCAGAAGAGTCTTGATAGCCAATGAGAGTTACCATCCTGCTTCCCCTCATAAAAGTAACGTTGTGGGGCCTGATGTGAAAAACTACTGGAGCTACCATATCTATCCAGTCCATTCCCAGCAATAAATCACAACCTCCCACTTTCATTAGCCTAAATTCAAATTCGAATCCTTCCCCTTGCATTTGACAACGTACTTTCCTGCAAATTGCCTTGCTCAACATTACATCACCATTAGCAACTCTCTCATAGGTTTGTGCAATGGTCGTATGTTTAGGTTCAAGCTTTCGGCTAAATGGGGTCGATGAAGCTATGAGTAGCCCCACAATCTACTAGGACCACAATTGCTTTACTCTTAAGTAAGCCAGAAATTTTAATGGTCGTTGAACTTCAAAATGGTCCTTCCAACATACTAATGGCAGCTTCTTCTTCATCCAATTTGTCTTCAATTAGACTTACCCCTGCCTCAACTTCATTTTCATTTCCCCCTGTCTCTTGTTCATTCTTAGCCCCTGAACTTTCCCCAACTTCCACAATTGTTTCTCCTTCATTCCCTTCTGAAGTATTGAGTGTTTTGGTTCTACACTTGTGTCCTGGAAAATACTCTTCATGACAATTGTAACACAACTTATTTTCCCTCAAAGTTTCCAACTTTGGGACCTTGGTTAAGTTCAAGTGATTGTGGGTTACTACTGGTGGTAAGCTTTTTGGTACGTGGGTTACCGATGCTTTTGGTCTTGGAGGATAAGTGATTCTTGGTGTGGTGTTTGAATTTCTGGGTGTTTGAACCTTCTTGTATATGGTTGCAAGATTTTTCTCATGAAGTTTGGCTATTTCGACTGTATCCATCATTGTTTGAGGATTTGAGGCCCTCACCGTTGGTTCTAAATTAGATTTCAACCCACCAACAAAGCAATATACAAAATAAGCTTCATTGAGTGAAGGGTTAACTATTAATAAGTAGAATCTTAATTCTTCAAACTTGTTAAAGTAACTCTCTACATCAGCACAATGTTGCAACCTATTGAACTCAATAACAATGTCCATGGGCCTAATGTTACCATACCTACGGCACACATCCAAGCAAAAGTTTTCCCAGGATATAACCCCTCCATGTTCCATCATGTACACATCAAACCAAGTATCCATCTTTTCCTTTATATGGACAGCAACATAATTCATCTTATCAACTGGAGGAATTTGGTATAATCCATCCTCAGGGATTTTTACTATCAAACTCAGGGAATGTTAGCTTAACCTTTGGCCCTCGGAAGGTGTTATTTGTGTTTGGTGTCAAGGAGTTCGTTGGAATATTGTTTTGTGAGTTGGGTTGCCCAAAAAAAGGATTCATAATAGCCTGGTAAGCTAAAGGAGGAAGGAAAGTGGTGGGTACATACTATCCTTGGGTGGTAACAGGGTTAACATAAGTGCTGGGGTATGTTTTTGTGAAATTTGTTGACACAACTGGGTTTGAAAATTGGTGCTTATAGCTGGGTTGGTAAGAGACATGGGGGCTGGGGGATATAAAGAAGAAGATAGAAACTGACTTCTAGGCAAGGATATATTGGGATTGAGGGGAGCTGCAGTGAAGGACATACCCCTTGCAGCGAAAGAAGAAGCTGGAGTCACTGGTGACTGAGTTGGTCCGAAACTTCCTCCTACTGAAGATTCTCCTCTTGGTGCTGGTGAATCACCCAAACCTACCAGAAGCAGTCCAATCTAACCTTCTTTCGGACTCCATTTGGCTTAATACCATATCTAAACATCCATTGTTTTCCTCCTGCCTTTGTGCTACATCAGCATTCAAACTGGCTTGGCTTTTCTCCAAGACCTCCATTCTTTTCTGTGATTCACTCATAAAAGCTTGTAATTGAAGCTCTATCTTTTTCCAACCATCATCAATTGTTTTATCCTTATCTACCATTTTTGAAAGAATTCTGGCGGAAAGCCTACCAATTGTAGCGTAACAGCTACTGGAAAGATGAATTGTTTAAGAAAATAAATGACAGAAAATTTAAAGAAAGATTTTCATTCCAAAAGATGCCTTTTTACACTACTGTTTTCACCAGCTGTGGCTAATGTACTGCACCAATTAAAACATGATAGACTAGGTACTATTCTAACAGTACAATTGCCAAGGACAATACACGTGTTGTTATAGAAAACATCAACTTTAGGAAATTTAAAAGACTACTAAATCTAAAAGGACTCAAATGAAAATAACAGAACTATTTTCAGATCTTCAAAATAGCCACTGGACCCTTTCCTTCACTTCTTCTTTAGCCCAGCGGATATATATACGGTAACCTTCATTCACCAGTTGTTTCCTTGCCTCTGCTTTATAGTTTTGTACTCCTCTATGTTCATCCTCAAGACCCCTAAATGCCCGTAAATAATCAGAGCTCAAAATATAGAAAAAAAAATTAACCTCTGTGCAGTGGTAATGTACAGTTTTTTTAATACCATCATGTTAAGATCACCTAAAAGTACGGGGATTGTCTATAGTTATTCTAATTTGGTAAACTCAAAATACATTTAATAACCCATTATATCCGATTAGAATAATGTAAACATTCTTTATACTGTCAGTATGGGTTAATTTCACTGATAGTCATTCAACTATCTTTCAATTTCACTAAAGTCACTCAACTATTTTTTGTCACTTAAAAGTAACTAAACTTTATCATGTCTTAAAAGTCATTTTTGCTCAAACTCCTACCATAAATATGGCATGTCACAAAATTTAATGGAAAAAATCCAAAACATGCCACATAAGCTTAAATGGACCATACCCACTTTAGATTCATTTCTCCCTTAATGTGATTTGACCCATAACCCAAATGGGCTTCAATAGGGGGAAAAACATACACTTAATAAAATTAGGTCTTGTGATTTTTTTTATGTAGTTTTATCGTAAGATACAATTTTCCGTTTGTCTAAACAATTGCAATATATTGTTTGTAATTATGTGTTCATTGTGAAAATGGACTCTTATTAGCTTTATTATTCTTGTGTGCTTATGATACATTAATATGTTATACAAATTTCTTTTGTCTAAACAATTGCAATAGGTTGTCAGTAATTGTTTGTTCATTGTGAAAATATACTCTTATTAGCCTTATTATTCTTGTGTGACTATGATACCTTAATATGTTATGTGAGATGAATACAATACTATTTTAACTTCACTAAAAAATTATAAATATGTTATGTGAGTTGGATACAGTAGTATTTTTACTTCAGTAGAGTTATAAAACAACTTAGATGGTGCATACAAACAAGATAATTTTTTTAGTATAGAATAATTATAAATGGGCATTATGTAAAGAAAATGCAAGAATTTTGTAGTATAGGATTATCATTTTAAACTAATGTGGAATTTAATATCTTTTTTTATCGAAATCATTTGGGTTATGGGTCAAATAACATTAAGGGAGAAATGAGTCTAAAGTGGGTATGATCCATTTAAGCTTATGTTGTATTTAATTTTTGATATTTTTAATTATTTTATGTCATGTCATATTTATGGTAAGAGTTTGAGCCAAAATGACTTTTAAGTGACAATGATAAAGTTTAGTTACTTTTAAGTGATAAAAAATATTTTAGTGACTTTAGTGAAATTGAAAGATAATTGGATGACAATTAGTGAAATTAACCCTATAAGTTAAAATCTATCTAGAAATTAAAAGAATGAATTTTTAAAGAAAGATGTACCTCAAGATGAGATAAGACCATCCGTGGTAACCAACCTTGATTAGGTTGTCAACAGTGGCATCCCTTAGGCATTCTCTTCTGCTAGAGATCAAGAAAGCTTTATAGCCCTTAGCTTTGATCTCATCATAGAGTTTAAGACCATGCTTTACTGCTGGTGCATTTGTCTCTTTCATCCACCCTTAGAAACTAGATAGGTTCAGCTTCTCTCCCTTACTTTCATCCCAGGACAAATTAAAAATAAAATTAACAAGAATCATTCCTCTTAGTAAGTTAAAGAAAAACAAACAGATATTATCGACGGTCTATAGTATCTGAGCCAAATATACTCATGTAAGGTTTAAATATACTTTTCATTATATTTTGGGTTCAAATATATTCTTGCTGTATTATTATTGGTTCAAATATACTCCTCTTCCGTTAAGTTTGTCCAATATAGACATCTAATCCTATGTAGCACTGACATTTGATGAGGTGGGTGTTACATATTGCTCAGCGCTCCTAACCCATTTTACCCCTCCCTTCTATTTTTTTTTTCTACCACTAAAATTTTCTTTCCCTCCACAACTATTGTCATCATTACCGCTACCATGATAAATGTATTTCAAATACATGTTTGGTAAATTTTCAAATCTCAAAACTCAAATCCCAAAATCAACTCAAGAGCTTGTTTTGACCCAAAATATCACTATTACACTTTTTAAAAATTATCCCAAACTTTTATATTTTACAAAAGAGCCCACCATTTATTATTTTGTAATAATGTTGTTTTGCCTTCTCGGCCATGTGATAGTGTATTATGTAGTTTATTATAAAAATAATAATTTTGTACCAAATTTATTTATGTTGAGGATTATGATTTGCGATAATAAAACAAAGTTTGGTCTGCCTTCAAACTTGTTTTAACACCAACCACATTTCTGGTCTTTTTTTATTGAATTCAAGATGTTCCAATGATCTGCTTCTCCCAAGCCAATCAATAGGCTTCTGAGAATCAGAAAAAACACTAGTTTTCTTCCCATTGTGGAGTGAAAAGTGTGTATAAGAAAATATTATTACTATCGAAATATTGAGAGAAAAAATTCAGAAGAATATTTGAGTGATTCACAAATAATTAAAATTTAATTTCTTAGGGATTAGCAAAAGTGTTAATGATGCATCACATGTGACATGGGGTAGATGTTGCTCTACTTATTGGAAAAGAACAACTTCATGTTTGACGAATACAGCTCAACTTTTTTCACTTTAATCATTCAATATCTATTATAGTCATGGAAATTTGTAGGTGGGGCTAACATATACCCGTCACTTTTGTCACATGATTTATTGTCTTAATTCTACTTCATTTATTCTTTGCCCTTTTACCTTAATAAAATGAAATTTTTTAATTCATATGCCATATACTAAACTATATTACCCTTCATGCTTAACGTTTAATATAATTACCTTCTATATACCTAATTATCATTTATGTACCATTTTAGGATTTTAATGGTATTAATTAGTCTCCTAATTTTACTCAACCGTATATTCTCACTCCCCCAAGTTTCTCTCTCCAAATCTCACCACCTAACTCACGTATCAAACCACACCCCACGATTTTCTCTTCAATCCCCCACGATTTCCTCTTCTAAAACCAACGAAAATCTGTAACCCCTCCACCATTGACAACCACTAAAAAGCTTTGAAGCTTTGAATTCGAATTTGGGTTTTCAAAAGACATTTGTTTGTTTGGATTGGATGTTGTTGCAAACAATTGAAAATTCTCTCTACGTCTCTCTCTATCTCTCAATCCCAAATTTCAGTAATATAAAGCAAAGGAAAAGAGAGCAGCAATTCCACCATTGACAGTCATTAAAAAACTTTGAAGCTTTGAATTCGATTGGGGATACAAAGAAGAAGAAGAAGATAGAAACTGTCAGTATGGGTTAATTTCACTGATAGTCATTCAACTATCTTTCAATTTCACTAAAGTCACTCAACTATTTTTTGTCACTTAAAAGTAACTAAACTTTATCATTGTCTTAAAAATCATTTTTGCTCAAACACCTACCATAAATATGGCATGTCACAAAATTTATTTATGACTGTTGTTTATTTATTTTTCTTTTATTCATTTAACTATTGTATGAAAGTTGAACAACATTGTATAAAAATTGTATTTAAGTGGTATTATATTGTAGTTGTATATAACTGAGTAGAAATAATGTATGCAATTGTAGATAAGTTGTATAAAATTTATTTTTACTATGTATAATTAGTTGTATGAAATTTGCTTGTCTTGGTATACTTGTCCTACTTCAATAAAACTTGGTGTACTATCTGTTATTACTATACTTTCATATTCCTCTATAACGAGAGATGTTGGCATATTAAGTAACTTTAATGTTCCAAACGAACCTGCATGAAAATAAAGATAAAATCTGTTATGAACAGTTTGTAGAAATTTTGTAGATAATTTGTAGAAACATTGAAATTCTGTATTTCATATTAATTTTTCAGATGATATATAGTTTTATTATATAATAATGTAGAAATTTTGTAGATAATTTGTAGAAACATTGAAATTCTGTATTTCATATTAATTTTTCAAATGATATATAGTTTTATTATATAATAATGTAGAAATTTTGTAGATGTTGTAAAAATCCATATATATATATATATATATATATATATTACTCTGACATGTAGTTTATTTTGTAGATAAAATGTAGATAAAGTGTAGGACATTGATATACAACCAAAATTTGATACAAAATGTAACAGCACAAACCTGCAACTGTGTTCTCATTGGTGATACTCGATTCCATATTGAAATCGCGAACAGTTATACATAGCGGATATGATCCTAAGTTTTTATTTTTCTTTTTAGTCTTCATGTATACACAACTACAATATAATACCACTTAAATATAATTTTTATACAATATTGTTCAACCTTCATACAATAGTTAAATGAATAAAAGAAAAATAAATAAACAGCAGTCTACAATTTTTCTACAATTTCTGCAATATAATGTATGTCATGTCTTTTTTTTCTTCTTCTTCTTCGAGTTTCAATATGAAATTCAGCAAAAATCAAGTATAATCTTCACCAAAACCCCTCAAAATTGAGATATAAACTCCAAACCATATTCCCAATTATTTTCAACAACACTCAATCCAAACAAATAATGATTTTTGAAAACCCAAATTCGAATTCAAAGCTTCAAAGCTTTTTAATGGTTGTCAATGGTGGAATTGGCTGCTCTCTTTTCCTTTGCTTTTGTATTTGATTTCTATAATTTTTTCGGATGTATCAATCATTAATTGCTGTGCTATTGTAGAAATCAATAGACTATAACTCGCATCCTCATCGACTACAATGCCATCGACCTGAAATTCTCTAAATCTCCTATAACTATCCCAATTCACATTCAGTTGTAGCATAATTGGGATTTTGGACATAATTGCATTTGTTGCAGAAGAATTGTAGAAGATTTAATCGTTTTTGATTTGTGAAATCAGAAAAAATGTTGAAACACAGTGTATCGCAAAAACAGAGTCGCTAAATTTTGAATTGAAACAACCGATAATATTAATGTGTGATTTGCGTAGTTAAATATCTGGAAGAATATTTAATTCCCCAATATTAGCGCGCCTAAATAAGGAAGCCTACAGCTACAATGATTCCTTATTTAATGAATTGTCTATATCTTGTAGAAATACTATTAGCATGGCGGGTAATATGCAAACTATGAACATATTTGGTAATATAGTTTCCTATGTGGTATAGGAACGAAAATTTCCCTAATAAAAAGTCAATCTTAATTATTCCCTCCGCTCCACAATAAGTGACCAATTCCCTTTTGACACGCTCATTAAGAAAATACTAAATTTTATACAAAAAGCCTAGTATGATTAAACTACCATTAATCAAAAATATTTAATGTAAGGAGTAAGAAAACTTTTTAGGGATATGTACATAAATGTAATTTTGTAAAAATAAATTGAATTCTTTCTTGATTATATAAATGAACATTTATTTTGGACCAAAATAAAAAAGTAAATTGATCACTTATTGTGGACCAATTTGAACATGATGTAATAGGGGATTGTGAAATTAGGCTCCATTAACGATTGTCACACTCACCCGTTTGGACTGAAGCAGGCAGGCAGGTAGGCTCAGAAAGTATCTAGTATACCCATTACCTAGTATTATGATCAAAAGGATGATAGAAACATGTGGATGGTAATCCATGTCTAACTTCTTTTTCTCACGAAATCTTTAATTAAAAATCTCACGGTAATAACTCACGTCAATATGTCTTTCTGTAAAAGGAAGAAAAATTATATAGACCACAGAAGAGTCAGAGATTTGGACATGCATAACATTTGCAAACACGCATAGTTTTTTTGTTTTTTTTTTGCAAAACACTATAAATTACTTGTAACTTTCATAGAAGAAAAAAAAGATAATGTTGATGAGTAAAAGGAAGGTGTAGAATTAGGCAAGTCATAAAGAATAATCATTTTAGGCAGAGTTAGGTCGTTTAGTGGTAGGGAGAGGGAATGAAAGAAAGAAAGGTGTAAAAGCCACCCATTTGTTCTGTTTATATTTGGTGTTTATATCAAACAAAATATGTAAGTGTATATGATGATAATACTAAAAATGACCAACAAGAAGATTTTTTTATCTTAGGTATTAATTGTTTGGTGGTAGGGAGTGACGAAATGAAAGGTGTAAAAAGCACCCATAAACAATTGAATGCAAGACACATATTCTGCATAATTTCCTCTCATTTTCCCATCGATAATCTTATCGAATGCAATTCAAAATCAAAAAGTAAATCAAACGCTGCAGATGCGCCTTGGGTAAAAAAAAAACTGACAAGATAAAGCGGAGGGCCACATTTGCCACTTTCTTTTGATAAAGTTCATCGAAAAGTTTAATACTGTGCTAAAAAGGAGAAATGGAGCTTAATTTGCATTGTCAAACTATTTCAGCCAGAAAATTTACTAGTGCCATAGTTCAACTAGCTCTGATTCAGTATTAAGCTGTGAATGCGAAAGTCTCCACTTTTAAACATTTACATATATTTTCAGATCTAACTACAGAATCAATATATAAGACCAAAGTACAGAGAAATTTATAGTACTCAAGTGGATAAATTGAGAAAATTATGCTGTATGTAAAACTTTATGTAATGGAAACATCACCAAATTTTCTACCCAACTTGCCAAATTGTTTTACCGGTGAAG